TACCTAAGGAAGTTGTCATTTTTGTGGAGGGGGTCAGCGGTGATGGGTTGGGAAAAGGAGTAGACAGGACAAGGAGTAGACAGGAGGAATGGAAGGGGTGGGTGCTCAGCATTCCTTTTTCTGGCAGCAGAGGTTGGTCTGGGAACAAGATCCCAGTGCATGCATACCAGGCTGCAGTGACTTACGCACTTTGATATGAAGTCTTATTGAGGAAAGTTACTCAAAAAGGAATCTTAAAGCAAGGGAAGCATGCATGTTTTTCACCTGCTACCCAGAGCTTCCCAGCATTCTCTGAGAAAGGACTTGAACGGGATTTGATGTTCCCATAGTGGAAAAGTGAATGGGTTGCCTCCAGTAGAAGAAGTGTCCTCTACCCAAGCCCTGCCTCGTACAATCTAGGCTAGGGAAAATGCCTCTTACCAATGGGAGCATCACAATTGAGTTATCCAAGACTGTTGTTTCCTTTGTGATTGTTCTCTCTCCCCAACATTTCATCTTACATGTATTTTGGGGCACTGTGTACAAAAGTATGGTCCAAATTTCCATAGGTTCCATCTTTCTAATAGTTCCTGAATCTGCCATGTTCTGATTCACTGTCTGTCCTGTAGTCTAACTTAATGCCTAGTTCCTACCATCTGCATCTCTTATGTCATTCCCCTCCTGTACATTTCATCCTATACATTATCCTCAGCCTCTTTGTCTCCAGTTTGGCCCTCTTGTAATCTTTTCTTTATACAATGAGATCTTTTTTTAAACCTGCAGTTTCTGGTTACAGAAGGTAGAATGAAGTACTGGGATCTCACTAAAATATTTGTTTCTCATTGTTCCTTTATGGAAGAGCATGAAGGAAACTACCAGTGAACAAGAGATTTCAATAAATATTTAGAATATAGCATATGGAAGTGCACCAAAGGGAACAGGGGTGGCTAGAAGAAGTGGAAGAGGCAGCTGCCGTGGAAGGAGGAGCTCATCTTCCAGGCAGAACCTCTGAGAGGCTCTGGGCTCAGCGCTGGCAGCCATGAGGGGAAGAGAGAAGAAGTCTACACATGCTCACTCCCATGTCCTCTACCCAAATCTGGAGCTCAGGTAACCCAACTTTAACCCCCAGATGATTTCTTCTCCAAAAAGTCAATTCCTAGATAGTGCTGAAGTTTCAAGTATGGTGAAATTTATGGTGTGGCATCCCAAAGAGAACCATCTTTATTCCAGTATTTGAGGGGTCTGCTGTCCATATAGCTCCTGCCAACTCAGTCTCGCGAGACTGCACGTACAAATGGACGATGGCTGGGTGTATATAAAAAGAGTTTTAATCCATTATCTGCAATAATCAGTCCAGAAAGGCAACCTGCTATCTAAACCAGATTTACAAGAGATTAGACCACTATTTTAACTACCAGCCCAGGAAGCCAATTACCCCTTTAACAATCAGCCCCAAGCAGCCAGGACTTGATTAATGACTGACAGCTTCCCTAATTTTTATCCCAGCTTCCAAATGAGGATCAACCAGGGAAAGCCAAATACACATTTCTAATCAATCACATAGGATGCCCCTCTTCTAGTTAGCCTGTCTATGCCTTCCCCATGCCAACAGCCACAATTAGGGCATACCTGAAGCTTCCCACTTCAAAGCTTTCTCTCTGCCTGCTTTTGAGTCTCTTTCAAAACTCAAGGGATTTGGTGGCTGACTTCCTTGTTACAGGAAGCTCTGACCAAATAGCCTTTGCTTGTTCTCATTTACTTCCACACTCAGGAGCAGCCTTCTAGCCCACAAGCCTTCCCCCATATACCCAGAACTCCCCCTCAGCTTTGCTAGTCAGGGGAAAGAGCCACAGACACAACCCAGGACACCTAGACCAGCTAGCTAGAAGAATCAACCCAGCTTATCATTCTTAAATGTGGATACACAGCCAAGGAAACCAGACACAGATTAAACTAGTGGCACGCAGGGGAAGATGAAGATAAAGAGAACAGATTGCCCTTGGACGAAATAGGTCATTCAGACACTAGAAAAAAAGACTTTAAAAAATTCTAATTAGATTCTCAGATTTGAGAAGATATTACATCCATAAAACCAAAAACAGCAGGTTGTAAAAATCTCCTCGAAATTAAAAGTGGATTGCCAAAATTAAAAAGATTGGAAGATTAAGTTAAGAAACTAACAGAACAAAGAGCAAAAAGGTAGTCTGTGTGGCAGAAAAGATAAGCCACCCTTTGTAATTTTTTCATAGCTAAATCCAGAAATGGTTCAAAGTGAGTACCTCTGGAACCAAGGGGCTGACTGGCTGGGGCTCTGTCATTCTGTGTTAGAGGTCCTTTTACCTATGTGTTATAGCCACATGCATGGATCTCTCTGCTTAAAACAAATCATTTAACTGCAAATCTAAACAATTCTATTCCACTACCGAAAACTGTCACTCCTCTAACCACAAACAGGGAGAAAGCTTAGTCTCTCTTTCCTGACCATCACTTGCTGTAAGCCTGCCCCCTCTCCCTTCACTCCCTACATTTGCCCCAGTCCCACTTGCCAGGGTGTTCTGTGTAAGCCTCAAGAGCTGGGACTGTGGAATCTGACCTACCTGGTTTCAAACCCACATATGTCTGTCTTAACTTGAAAGATGGGTGTTTAAGAGTGACTCTCGGAGGGGGACACGAACCATGAGAGACGATGGACTCTGAAAAACAAACTGAGGGTTCTAGAGGGGAGGGGGGTAGGGGGATGGGTTAGCCTGGTGATGGGTATTAAAGAGGGCACGTTCTGCATGGAGCCCTGGGTGTTATACGCAAACAATGAATCATGGAACGCTACATCCAAAACTAATGATGTAATGTATGGTGATTAACATAACAATAATAAAAAAAGAGTGACTTTCAAAGCTTTTGGAAGGATCAGATCAGCTAATGCATGTTAGGAGTTTAGCAGAGCCCCAGACACAGAGTAAATGATCAATAAAGAGTAGCAGTCACTAAAGCTCCCAGAACTAGTCTTGTTTGGGCTAAATCAATTTTAACCTTACTTTGATTATGTTTAGGTAAAAATACCTAAAAATATTTTTTTAAGTTTTATTTATTTGACAGAGAGAGAGTGAGAGAGCACAAGTAGGGGGAGCAGCAGAGGGAGAAGAAGGTTCCCTGCTGAGCAAGGAGCCCGATGAGGGGCTCAATCCCAGGACCCTGAGATCATGACCTGAGCTGAGGGCAGTCGCTTAACTGACTGAGCCACCCAGGGGCCCCTAAAAATACTTTTTAAAAGTCATTTAACTCTCAGCTTTATTACCACACACATATCCTCAGACACTCCAAATCCTTAACTCTTAAGAAATTTTACCTATATGTATTTTTTGAAGCCATAATTTATTGATTCACTTAAGAGCAGGTGAAGTTCCTGCTTCAGATAGTTCATGCTTTATGGACTGGCTCGTTTTTGTTCAGCATTTTTGTGTGTTGTGTGTGTGTGTGTGTGTGCCTAATGAAAAGACCTTTCTTCAGTGGACTCAGGCATCACCTCCTTTGCGAGGACCCCCAGCCCAGTCCCTATTCTTGCAGGCTTCTAGCCAAGTGCTTTGTCTCTACTGCTAGTGTCTGTCTCCTACTCCAGACTCTGAACACCTCAGTTAGGAGGTCTGTCCTCACTGGTTTTAGAACTCCAGTGTCCTCCCTGTGACAGGATCTGTTCAGTGAAGGAGCACATTCAGGGTAAGCGTGGGAGGAATGGAGATAGAACTTAATTATAAGCAAGGCTTACTGATGTCTGGTGAGAATGAGTAATTGTTGGAAAAGCCAACTACCTCAGATGCTGACATATTAGAAACCCTCTTTGTCAACGAAAAGGTTGTAGGGATGGCACTATCTATGCTGGGAAGCTGCTGGGCTTCAGGCTCTGGAAGGTTCTGAGTGGGTGGGTCGGCTCCCAGTCCACTTACAGAAGGGATGTGGAGGCTGCCCCAGGGCCCCTTCTCGAGTTCAGTTCTGACTTCTGTCTTGTTCTTTAGGGTGTGGGACTGCCTGAGAAGCACAGACTATATCCCAACAAACAATGGCATTGGCTTTTTCCTTTTTCTTTTTGTAAGTTAAAATCATGGAGTCAAACTCCCTCATTCCTCTCAGGGGAGAGGGAAGCATAGACAGTCTTAAATGAAGGCCAATGGACTTGCCAAAAGTCATATAGAAAGTGGTAAAACATGATTAGAGCTTGGCTTCCAGAATTCCAGAGCTGTGTGTTTTGATTCTGGGGTTAAAACAACAGGAAATGGGGCACCTGGGTGGCTCAGTCCGTTAAGCGTCTGCCTTGGGTCATGGTCCCAGGGTCCTGGGATTGAACCCCACATCGGACTCTCTGCTCTGTGGGGAGTCTGCTTCTCCCTCTCCCTCTGCCCACCCCCCCCACCACTGGCCACCGCTTGTGCTCTCAAAAAAAAAAAAAAAGAACAGGAAATGCCTAAAGCAGTTGAGGGGCTTCAGTCTTGTATCCAAAATAAAACCAATGGCCTGGGTGGTTCTTACCCTGCCTTTGGGTCTTCTGTATGGCATACTGCTTATGGGGGCGGGGAGGCGGTGTCGAAAGTCTTCCCACCAGGAGGTGTTGTGAGGATGTAACGAGAGGTCCTGGCACATATGAAGAAGCTAACTGTTATGAATTAAAAGTGGCAACCAACTTTGAGACATCAGTGCGGCTGGCGGACTGGCTCCCTCTTTGTGCAGCCTGACTCCCTGACCAGAGAGCTAGGACAGAATGGGTCACACAGAGGGGAAAGGTCAACTGCTGTTTTATTGGAGGCACCATCATGGGAAGGGAGGCCAGGGCTGTGACCACCAGCTCTGCCACGGAAGGAGGTGGGCATGCACTGGATGAGAAGGGCCTGGAGTCCCACATTGGAGTCCCACCGGCCATAAAGGTGGAAGGGGGCAGGTCACGTTGGCGCTCCCAGCCCCTGGCTGCCTTTCAGGCAGAGGAGGGCAGAACAGAGCAGAGGGGGGTGGGGTGAAGACCTTGAACTGAATGTTCACGGCTTGGGCACCAGCTCCTGCAGCCTCAGTGTCCCCCTCGCCCCCCAGCCCATGCTGCTCCATTTAAAGGAAGGACCCAAGAAAGGGGGCTGCCATGGCGCAGGCTGCCCCACAGCTGGGGGAGTGCAGGTCTGCAGGTGGGAGAAGAAGGGGCTTTGGGATAGGAACAACAGGAGCAGGGAGAAGGCCATGAGCGTGTAGGAGCCTTCCCAGGACGGGGCCGTGCTGGCAAAGAGGCGGGCCACAGCCACATTGGGGTTGCACTGAGCAGGCTCAAACCACTTCTGCAGGCACTGTCCGCTGCCCCGGTGCTCGGGGCTTGCCTTGAAGGAGCGGCTCCAAATCCTCTCACACAGGTCAGCCGGGGTGGGGAAGTAATGGGGGAAAGGGCGACAGACAGCCCTTGCAGGGCAACGGTTCTTCCCTGTCGGGGGAGATGGAGGCACACCCTTACCTCCCTGTCCTTTGCCCTGGGGGAGCAGAGGGAGCTCGCGCTTGCCCCCAGGTGGGGGCCCTGCCAAGCACCACTCACCCCCACTCCAGTCCCAGTCGCCATGCCAGTTGGATTTGCAAGTGTAAGATGTATGGCAGTCTTCCCACCACTGCTCACAGTCCTCCTGGCACAGGGGCGCATCCAGAATTCGCTCTCCTGGCCCGCCCGAGTCCATCTGGGTACAGGCATGGCAGGAGACAAGAATGCTAATAGCAATCATTTGAAGGTCATCGGTAGTGACGAGGGTACTTGTGCCAGGTACCCTCTGAATAGATTCTCTTAATGGAGTCTGTAAGCCTTGCTTTACCCAGGATAACAAGGAGGTTCAGAGGCTCAATTGTTTGGCCCAGGCTACACAGCTTCCTGCATCCAGAAGAATGGGATTGCAATAGCCCCTCATCCTACAGTTCTCATCTCTTACCCACTACGCTGTTCTGCAGGGCCTGAGGTGGCTTCCTCTCTGGCCTTTTCCCCAACCCGGCCTCTGACTCTGCTCTTGTCTGTAGGGGGACAGTGCGGCCTGCTCCCGCCAGCATCACGGGGCTCAGGCCCTTAGTAACAGGGCACTGTGCGGACATGCCTCCCGCCTCCCCGGCCCAGCCTTCTGACCTTCCGGATCCAAGGCCCCAGGTTCGGGGAGCACTCGTAGAAGCAGATGGCCTGGAGGAAGTGCTTCTCGCAGCCTGGCATCATCACCCCACAGTGGAGCAAGCTGAAGTTGTAGAGCAGGGACACGTCCAGATGGGCTTCCCAGCTGGTGCCCGCCGTGCAGCAGGCATTGCCTTGCCAGGGGAGACACTGAAGGCCGATGAAGAAGGAAAAGGCATGGGGTTGGCTAAGACGCAGTAGACCGAGTAGGACCTGGGCAAGTGGGATGGCTTCAAGACAATCATACCCATATAGAAGAAATGCTGAGAACGTGTCAAAATCCCCAGCCAAAGAGCCCTGCATGCTGATCTCCCCACCACAGGCTGCTACAGTCCTCTAGAAACGGGACTGGCAGGGTCTCAGCTCCCGGGGGGTGGCAGAGGAGCCCCACGAGCCCCAGGGGGATGTGGAGCACTGAGAAGCGCTCACAGGGAAAGGCCAGCTCCACAACTCTTCCTTGCCCCCCTCCCCATCAACTGCCTTTAGGGCTTGGGGAGGGGTCGCCTAAAGCCTAGGTCTCCCCAGTGCCTATTGGTAGGAAGAAGGCTAGAGGAGGACCTTGTTTGCATCTGTGCTGAACCAGGCCTGGGCCTCTGGGATCACCATCTGCCCCTATTCCCCCAGGCTGGGCAGCTCAGGGATGGGAACTTTGAAGCACTCAAAGACTATGATCTCAAAAGGCCACAGTGTCCCTCCAGTGGCCTTGGCCTCAGTGCCAATGTAAGGAACCACATGAGTCAGTGTTGATGGTGGCTCAGAAACCGCCGTGGAATTTGTGTCCCTTCCCTGATCTGCCAAAGCAGCCTCACTCCCCCCCCGCCCCCACCCCAGGCAAGGTCCAGCCTCCGTACCTCCTCGTAGAGCTTGTCTTCTGGGCCAGGCTCTCGCTTGTGGTGTTTGGTGTTCATGCAGACATTGAGCAGCTCGTCCCCAGCCCAGGTGGGCGGCGTGACTGCCCACAGCCCTAACAGGAGCTGCCACCACCGTTCCATGGCCGACTGCAGACAGGAGCCCCGCCTGCCTGTGCAATAGACAGGACAGGCACTCCATGCCCTCCGCCATCCCAATGAGTGAGGATGGGTTTCAGGGCTCTCTCAAGTGACCCTGACCCTCTGGCTGCCCGTAGGACCTCTATCGGAGGTGGCATCATAAAATGTCAGGGCAGGTGGAACATGCCTTAGCATTCTGACACCCACCCCCAAAAATGGACTCCCGGGAAGAGACCAGCCCTAAGGTGAGGGAGGGTCAGCGTGGAATGGCTCCAGCCTGGGAACTTATCCTGGCACATCCCCCTGGGAGGCAGACTTTCCAACCCCGTGACATATGGGCTGGGAAGCCAGAGCATTGATCCTGGATGAGTAACAGAGCAAATGCTCCGTAACCAGATTCTACAGGGCGTAGAGGGCATGGTGGGATGGGGTGGTGGGATAGGTGCATCCTTATGCGATAGACGGCCAGCCCTGATGGCAACCCCCCTGAGGAGTCCATGCAGCCCCCCACCCCAAGCAGCTGGTCCTCCCCCCGGGAGCAGTAGCTCTGCTTCCAGCAGCCCCAACCCATCTCCGACCCTCCTAGCGGGAGCCGCGGGACGCAGAGCCCAGGGGGAGTGTGCCCACACAGAGTCAGCTGCGCCGGCCTTGCACACCCAAAGCCCACTTCTCAGCACAGGAGCGCGGAGCCTGGCTTTCTTTCCCCTTGCTGTTTGTTGAGCGCTGTGTTTCCCACTCTGTTCTGGGTAGTACTGGTAACGCAAGGGAGGGGAACGAGAGACTAAGAAGAAGAAAGGCAGAAGAGCACCCTGTGTCCAGTGCCCAACGCTTTGGGAAACAGGGCTCCCTCAGCCTTCACGCACCCAGGAGCCCCTGGCTCCCACAGTCCCCCGGGCCTTGCAGGAAGGCCCCCGTGGCCCATCGCGGTGAAACTGAAAACCCCTGGCCTCACCTGAGTTTAGAGCGGCCAGCGTGCTGGGGATGGAGACCCCGGCCCCACCTTCCGAGCCCACCCTCAAGCCCAAACCTGCAGCTGCCCCCGCTCCGGTATCAGGCACAGCTGCGGCCATCTGGTATCTTTAAAGAAGCTGCTGTAACAGGGGAAAAGAGGAAAGATGCTGCCCCTTCTAGCGCTTTCCGCATACTTACTTTCAAAGCAGGAGCCTCTCCCTCCTACTTCCAGAGATGGGAAGCTGCCATCTTGCCCATTTATCGCCCCCTCCCCTCCCCAGCAGCCCAGGTGAGGGCGCAGAGCTCCAGGTGGCGCCAGTTTAAGGGCATCCATCTCACCCAGGTTGAGGGGCCTCCTGTGGCTGGAGCTGGAGGCTTCCACTTCCTCAGAGAAGCAGAGACCCAGGAGCGGGAAGGATCCTGGGCTCTGGTCAGCGGCTGACTTCTGCCCTTGGCTCTGCCCGGGGCCAGCTGCATGACCTGGAGAACGTGGCCCACTCTCCAAGTTGGCCTCTCTATAGTATAAAGGGCTGTTTCATAACAGGGATGGCTGGGGGAAAGAAATGAAAGAGAAAATTCACAGAAAGGACTTGGCAGTGTGCCTGGCACAAGTGAGTCTTTTGGCTTTAATTCTTTTCCTTTATTCTGTGAAGCCTTTGTCTCTGGGTCCCTGCCCCGGTCTGCCTGCCTCTCCACCTGCCCCTTCCTCGGCTCAGACGCCTGGGATGCACCACCTGGTGGCTTGAGTGACAGCGACCTCTGTCAGCACACAGGAGCTAAGGTTCCTGCTGGGGAACAGACACAGTGACCCAGAGATAAGGCAGGGCCTTGGAGACCGAAGAATTTAAATGTGTGACCAAAGCCCAAACCAACAAAACCAAAAGAATCCCTCCCACAGCCCACAAAACGACCTCCCTGAGCATGCAGAGACCCCTGTCCCGTGAAATACTCTGCAAGCGTCCTCGGCAGTGATCATATTCACAAGAAAGTCCTTCTCAACCAGGAGAGGCTGGGACACTCGAACAGGACTCTTGGGAGAGGCCCAAAGATGATTAAAACGCTGAAAAAGGAGCCCCTCTCCTTGCCTGTTTCCTAGAACAAGTCCCCTCTCCAAGGAACAAGCAGCCAAAGTGACTGAAGTGTTACCAATACCTAGGAAATGAGAACAGTAAGAGCATTTTTATACTTGAAGCACACAAAGCCCACTCTGGGTTGCTCAGCTACGGAGCTGATGTGCAGACGTGAGTTAGTCATCATGCCGGAAAATGGAGTTCTCCGCCCCGTGGTAACCACCAGGGCGAGCTGAGTGCCACGAAGGACTCAGGCGCTGGGCTGGCGCCTTCACTCCATGGTCTGACTCACCCCTAGAAACGACCCCCAGCCTGACCGCCCTCTCCGATTTCACTGTGGGGAGCCTGAGGCTCAGCTGGGGGAGGGGCAGAGCTTCATATCTGCCTAAGGGTCACCTGAGTGGGTTCCCTCCAAGACTGAAGGGGTAGATGCTGTCTGGGTCTCAAGTGAGGTCAGTTTTTCGAAAGTCAAAGGCCAGAATCAGATGGTGTGCGGGGAGGCATGTGTGTCTAGCTTTATTTGGGAGCAGTGATGATTATTGGCCCAGACTCCCATGTCTTTTTTTTTTTTTTAATTTTTAAAGATTTATTTGAGAGAGAGAGCTTGAGAGAATTGGTGGGAGCAGGGGCAGAGGGAGAAGGATACTCCTCGCTGAGCAGGAAGCCCAATGCGGGGCTCGATCCCAGGACCCTGGGATCATGACCTGAGCCGAAGGCAGGCGATTAACCGACTGAGCCTCGCAGGCGCCCCCAGGCTCCCATGTCCTTAAGCAGAGTTGGGAGTCCCCCTTCTAGGGTCCGAAGTGCCACGGCCCGCGTGCAAGGTCGAACAGGGGTGAGGGTAAGAGAAT